AAACAGGATTGTGAACTAGAGAATGATAATTCCAAATATTAAGCAAGGGTGATTTTTAAATGTTTTTTGAAGTGTATTTAAGGACTATGCGTCTATTAGAGGCATTGCTAATTTTCTTTAAAAAAATTTCTTTTTTTTTTTTTTTTGCTCATGCCTGTAATGCCAGCAGTTGAGAGGCCAAGGCAGGTGGACTGCCTGAGCTTACAGGTTGGAGACCAGCCTGTCTCTAAAAATAGCCAGGCATTGTGGTGGGTGCTTGTAGTCCCGGCTACTTGGGAGGCTGAGGCAAGAGAATTGCTTAAGTCCAGATGTTTGAGGTTGCTGTGAGCTGTGATGCCATAGCACTTTACTAAGGGGTGACAAAGTGAGCCTCTATCTCAAAAAAAAAGTTTTTTTTTTTTTAAATAGGCAAAACTTCATCTCTGCTTCACCTTATGTTCACAAGGTATCTATTTATTTTTACATAAAAAGAAGGCTTTATTTGCAGGAGAATGGGAATTTAATTCAATAGGCCAAATCACATGTTATCATCCGATTCTTCAACGCCTCTTCTGATATTTTCCTCTGCTGTAGCAGGGGTGGAACCAGCAGCAGGAGCTGCAGCTTCTGGGGCAGCAGAGGCAGCCACAGCCCCACCAGTAGGTATACCGGGAAGCTTGCCAATACCCTGGGCAATGACATCTTCAATGTTTTTTCCATCCAGCTCACTGATGACCCTCCTGACCTGGTCATCGTCTGATTCAATGCCGATGCTGTCCAGGACTTTCTTGATGTCCTTGGTGCTGGAGAGGGGTTGCTGTCACAGGATTGCCCCCCAGCCAGAGTGGCCAGAAGGTAGAAAGGGATGTGGTGGATTTTCTTTATATATATATCTTTTTTTTTTTTTTTGAGACAGTGTTTTACTATGTTGCCCTCAGTAGAGTGTCATGGCACCACAGCTCACAGCAACCTTAAACTCTTGGTCTTAAGTGATTCTCTTGCCTCAGCCTCCCAAGTAGCTGGAACTACAGGTGCCTGCCACAACGCCTGGCTATATTTTGTTACAGTTGTCTTTGTTGGTTAGCTGGCCTGGGTTGGGATAGAACCTGCCAGCCTTGGTGTATGTGGCTGGTGCCATAACCACTGTGCTACGGGCACTGAGCCTGTAGTGGATCTTCTTGGTGGCATCAGTAAGGGTAAGGAAGTCGCTGACACAGGTATCTACCTATCTATCTATCTATATATATATTTTTAAAATAAATTGACTGGAGTCAGGTGTGGTGGCATGCACCTGAAATCCCAGCTACTCAGGAGGCTGTAGTGGGAGGATTGTTAAAATCCAGGAGTGTGAGACTAGCTTGGGAAACATAACAAGACCCTGTCTTTAAAGAAATAAATGAATAAAAAAATAAATTGACTGGCCTTTTCTCACAAATACACTGAACAAACTAGGAATAGGAGATTACTGGCCAGGTGCCGTGGTTCATGCCTGTAATCCTAACACTCTGAGGGGCCAAGGTGGGTGGCTTACATGAGCTCATGAGTTCTACACCACCCTGAAGAAGAATGAGACCCTGTCTCTAGTAAAAATAGACAAAACTAGCTGGGCATCATGGTGAAGCTAAGGCAGGAGGATCTCTTGATCTCAGGAGTTTGAGGTTGTTGTTAGCTATGACACCACAGCAGTCAACCCAGAGTGCCTGAGTGAGACTCTGTCTTAAAAAGAAAGAAAAAAGAGAAGGAAATTACCTCATCATAAAAAACTACGTTCAGAAAAATACCCATGTCTAAGGCAGCACCTGTGGCTCATGGAGTAGGACACTGGCCCTATATATTGGGGGGGGTGGGTTCAAACCCAGCCCCGGCCAAAAACCGAAACAGACACACACACACACACACACACACAAAACCCAAAACACCCATGTCTAATATCATTCTTAATGCTGAAAAATTAAAAGCCTTTCCTCTAAGGTCAGAACAAGGTAAAGATTTTCACTCTTGTTACCTTTATTCAATATAGTACTGCAGTCCTTGTTAAAAAGATTAGGCAAGGAAAAGAAATAAGAAGCATCCAATTTGGAAAGGAAGAAGTGAAGTTGCCTCTCTTAGCAAAGCACATAATTTTCTATGTAGAAAACCATAAAGAGTCCACCAGAAAACTGTTAGAAATAATAAATGAACTCAGCAGGATTACAGTATACATCAGTTGTGCTCCTATACACTAACGATGAATAATCCAAAAAGGAAATTAAAAAAAGAATCTCATTTACTATAGCTTCAAAACGAATAAAATACTTAGGAATAAACTTAGGCAAAAGAGTTGAACACTAAAAACTACAAAACATTCATGAAATAAATTATAGACACAAATAAATGGAAAGTCATCTTGTATTCATGAATTAGGAGATGAAACATTGTTAAAATGCTCATGATATCAAAAATTTATATGAAACCTCAAGGGATTAAGAATAGCTGAAAAATCTTGAAAAGGAACAAAGTTGAAAGCCTCACATTTCCTGATTTCAAAACATGAGGTCTGACAGTTCTGTGAACTCATCCTAGAAAAGGTGCTACACACCTCACTGCTGAATATCACTATGGTCACCTTTGAAGCACTCCTCTTGGGAAGCTACACATACACACTGACACCAGTGCCCAAATCACCCTTCAAAGCAATTTTGAAACTCTTTTTTTGGAATGGCTATTAAAGCTGTCATCCTATTACCCTGATGTCATCAAAATGTCTTCCTTTCAATATTTTATTTATCTTCAGGTAAAGAAAAAAGTCATAGGGGGACAGATGAGTTGAGTTGGGGGGTGGGTTCCAATAAAATTATTTGTGTCCTAGCTAAAAGTTCCCTCACAGACAGTGCCAGGTGAGCCAGAGCATTATTGTGTATTGTGATGCAAAAGCATGCATTGTTGGCCAAAATTTTACTAACTGTTTCTATATTATTATTTACTTGGTCTGCTATCCTTCTTGTGGTTATCTGACAAGTTAAGTGAATAATTTGACACATTCTTGCAATGTTTTCCTCAGTGATGCTTGTTACTGGCCATCCTGACCTGTTTTTGTCAGTGTTGCTTTCTCTCCCTTCAGAAAAATATTTTATCCATTTGTACAATGCCATTTTCTTTATGGCATTATCCTCATAAACTTGGTCTAACGTGCCCCTGATTTCACTTCCACTCTTGCCAAGTTTAACAAGAAATTTTTTTTTTTTTTTTTTTTGAGACAAAGCCTCAAGCTGTCCCCCTGGGCAGAGTGCCATGGCATTACAGCTCACAGCAACCTCCAACTCCT